TGCGCAAGAAACATCATGAGTAATGTAAGTAATGAAATAATGCTGAAACGCGCCCTTTTGGCAGCCAGGCAAGGAAATCTTAAAATGCATATGCGTGGGGTCCGTGTGTTCTTATATAAAAGAGATCACTAGATCTGTAGATCAGTAGAGAATAGAATTGGGGTTAGATTAACAGCTGGAAGTAGTTAGCATTGCCCAATTTAAGTACTACTACTAAATTCTAACCGAATTGCAAATTTCGATACGTTATAATGCCGTTTCCTGACCATCAGATTTCTGTCAAATCTTCCCCCAAAGTCCAGGAAATGGCATTTCAAAGACTCTAAATTCAAAAATTTTCCTGGGGGGCATGCCCCCGGACCCCCCTAGACAAACCTCGCACCTGCGGCGCTCGGCTCGCGCCTTCGGCCCTCGTTTATCAAGCGTAAAATTATAGGGGCGTAGATTGGTTGACAGCCAACTGGCCCCCCCCAGAAAAATAGTACCCAGCACGCCACTGCATTTGAGGGTGGGGTGAGTGTGGGGCAGTTAAATAATGGGATTATTTGCCTGAGAATCTGGCCTTTCAGAACCCGAAAGCGGGCTGGATCACGGATTCGTTCTTTTGATTTGGCAATTGAAGCATGACAAATGGGTGAAATGGCAAAATTCACACGGTGCCCGGTTTGCAAAAACAACTGTAAACTGCTCTAATTTTTTCTGTCATGCACTTTCACTTGATCTTATTCGTGAGTCGGCCGGTTGACCAGCTACTGCTGGTTGACCACCTACTGCAGGTAGTTCTTAGAGACCTTGCACTGGAGGGGGGGGGGGGGCAGAATTGACCGGAGGCTATTAGGCGTCCCAGGTAGTCTATATGTTAAATGAGGCCCTGTAAATGTTAGGTTTTGAAAAACAAATTCAGACAAGCCCTAGAAATGAGAAAATAAGCTTCAAAGTATTGTGCGGCTTGAGAATAGGGCTCAAAATAGATGCGCGCATCGGATCGGATTGGAGGTTTACAATCCGACAATTGGTAATTTTTCAAATCCAAATCCGATCCGAAATTGTCTGATCCGAATCCAATCCGATCCGAGTTTGCTAAAGTTGCCATGCCTCAGAATGAATGTAAATTGCTTTCATTCTTCTAAAAACCAATTGTATATATGAAAAATAAAGGCATGAGCGCCTCTTAACCAGTTGGATAAATAATCAGGGCCCTAAAAAAACTAACCAGGAAATTTAACAAGAATATTGAGTTAATCCAAATAGGGTTAATACTAGGTTAACCAGGGTGTTTTTAGAGTGGAGATGCGTTTTGTCTTATACATATATATGAGTTAACGTCAAGAATTACAGATTATATTACGTGTTTAGAGTGTATTCAAGTAAAATAGTAAACTTAATCGAAGCTGACAAGGATGCATGGTAAACATTTTAAATTTGTTAATTCCAGGTTCTCAGCCAAAAAGAAGGATTTGTGCCTGCGCGTCCAATTGAAGGAACAATCTTGGTAAATATTGGAGACTTATTACAGCGTTGGACCAATAATAAATTAGTATCGACGGTGAGTAAAACCTGTGTAATTATACACGCGCAAAAATCTCAGTTCGTCCACAAGTTCCCAGCTGGTTATTAAGTCTGGAGCAAGTTGTTATCGTCTTGTAGCAAGGTTGATGAGGCTAACAGACTTGCAACAAGTTGTTCCAGTACAAGTCTGATATTGTCTATATATACACTTAAAAAACTCATTAATAATTCAGGAGAAAACACAAAGAAAAATCACAAGCGTGTCGTATCTTTATATGTGATAAAAAATCATGTTAATTTACATAAACTTTAGCTTTGATTTTCTCTGTTTAGACAAAGTTTATTTTAAAAATTACTTCGCCAATGAACTCATATAAGATGAGTCGTTTTTTAAGCCATTTAAAGCACTTGTAGTCGTGTTTTATCAGATATAAAACGCTCGGCTGCGCCTCGCGTTTTATATCTGATAAAACACTCCTACGCGTGCTTTAAATAATACGTAACAAGTTGTTACCCAATTGATGACAACAAGCTCGTAGCAACTTGTTACGAATACCTTGTATTAGTCTTGTTGGAACAACTTGTAACAACTAACAAGCCTGTTACCGCCATCAATCTTGTAACAAGGTGATAACAACTTGTTCCAGACTTGTCAACAGTTGGGAACAAGCAGTGCGAACACATCTTGACAACCTTGTTAGAACTTGACTGCAGATCTGCAATAACTTGCGCGTTTTTATTTGTGTACTTGGTCAGGTCTGTGGGTACTTCTACATTTCGATCGGTTCACAGGCACCTATAAATGCGAATGCGCTGCTATTCTTTGTCGTCTTTTGGAGGCTGTTCAAGCCAATAAAGACTCTATATTCCCAAACTATATATTGTATCTTATTGGATTCTTCTCAGCCCAATATGGCAAAATATTAAGTCGAGACTGCAATATTCGTAAGCAAGAGAGGGAAAATAATCCGTAACGCTCGTTTTTGAACAGACTCGATTAAATTTGTTAAATTTTGGGATACGTCCAACCACACAGGTGATGCATATTCAATACAAAACTTAACCAAAGAGCAATAAATTTTAAGAAGATCATGTTGAGAAACCAGCTTTCTTTAATTGTCTCAAAGACTCAAAGCATAAAGACGGGAATTGACATTTTTGTGAATATAGCCTAATCCACGTGTCTGTTCCAAGCAAGATCTTGCGAGATATATTAACGCCTAATAACTTGTAAAAACAAACTCTTTCAACCGGCGTTCCAGAAATATATATCGAATCTATAGACTGCAAGTCATATTTAAGGAATGATACAACCATTTCCTTACATTTCTGTGGGTTTAACTTCATCCCACGTGAAACAGCAAAATAAAAAAATTCATTGACAACGATGCAATAAATGATGAAAAAATTCAAAACAAGAGTATATTTAATAATGCAAAGATTAACAGATACAATTATTTATACACAATTTCGATAAACAATTTAGATAGTCTACAATAACCTCTATCTATATTTAGTCTACAATAACCACAACATTCAACAATGACAAAAACAGCGCGACTGAAAGGCTACAATTACTGACTTATAGTGTGAACATTTGGCGCAGATACATGTACGTTGGCGTACCTAATCCCCGAGCCGACGGCGCGAAGCGCCGTGCGAGGGTACTAATTCCCCCCGGCTATTTACACCCGGGGAAACGAAAGCATTAGCGGAGTCTAAAGTTCATCAAGTATCGCGGGCGTGGGTGACCAACGGTGTTGAGTGGGTGGTCATCCTCACTGATCTCAAAAATATGGCGGACTGTCATGAATAGCGGACACTGATTGGTCCAATTTAAAGTTTGCATCATAACGACTGTATGACGACAGCGAAATAGCAAACATTTCTTGATTTGATCACAGATTTGATGATTGATAAATTTCTTGCAAATATACTTCAATTTTACTCGCATTTTTGCAAGATTTTGTAAATTTCAAGATAGAAACGGCGAAAGAATCGGCTAAAAGAAGGGAGCCGACGTTAACGAAGGTAAGTTTGTGTTAAATATTGATTTTATAATTGCTTTAAAACCCGACGGCCTTTGGCCCTTTGCGTATATGAAATAACTAAACAAGACAGCATATAATTTCAGTCAATTCAGTGTATTATTAATATTGATTCCTTTCTTATTATATTGAATTTTTTTACTAAAAAGAAAGCAAAGTTATTTGCATGCGAGAATTTGAAATCATTTTGTTGCAAACTCAAAGTTTATCGATAAAGCCATTTAATTAAAGCCAGGCAATTTAGTTTTATAAAGAACTTTTTAAAACGTTTTGCGAAGCTTTTGTGGTTGAATTTTATCTTAAATTGAAGCCTATATTACGTATAATAACATACCTAACAAATATATGTTGGGAAATTGATAATTTTGTAATTAAAATTGATATTTTTAGGCAATTTTTCATTTGTAAGAATATTCTTAAAAAATTATCGTGTTATTACCATGACAACAACTTTGGATACTTCATGTTTGGAAAATACAATGGTTTTGTCAGCAAGGCGAGGGTTTCTGCATACATGTATTTTCTAGTATATTTCATGATGTATCAATGATAAGACATATCTTAATTTCATTGCGAGAAATTAAGTACGTCTACTTAATGTTATTAAAGGCCGGTTGAAAGGGACCCAAGCTGCATTGTTGGCCCAACATCATCCAATAATTTTCAAACAATGTTTTATACTATTTCTTTCGCAAATATTTTAAAGCGCTGATTTTCAATTTTGATAGATTTTACGATTTAATCCTGACGATTTAAAGAATAGTAACAGTTATTCACCGAATATTCCAACACTTGTATGATGTTGGGCTAACATTGTTTGAAGGAGCCTTAAAATCTAAAAGGTATAATATTCCAACTGAATAATTTGATACATTTTGGTACTAATATATCTATTTTTTTCAGAGACATCGCGTTGTAGTTCCACATGATGAGATACTCCGTTTAAGTTCCAGACAATCTGCGGTTTTCTTTGTCTGTCCTGACAATACAACTGTTATTGAATGTTTGGATGGTTCTGAGCACTATCCTCCTGTCACGGCTCTCGACTATCTCAACCAAAGACTTGGCGATACGTATTTGTATTGACAAATAGGCGGTATTACATATGCTGCTAAGCTCAGCTGCTTATCTACAGCTAAATCGAATATACCGTAACTAAAATATACCATCTTTTCATTTTGTTAATTTTTATAACTGGTTCGTAATGCTCGTTTTCCGAACTATACATATCTATAATTAACCATTAATTATTTAACAGTTATTCTACGAACTCGAGTCGCATATGAACTGATAGCCGATGAGGCCGAATCGGCTATCGCTCATATTCGACTAGAGTGAGTGGAATAACTGTTTTATTATATACGCAAGATCTGAATTCACAGACTTTGCTATTCGGATATTTTGAATATTTTCTATTTTGTTTATGTTTTTATCTTCGCTCTTTAATTTCGGCCGAATATTTTTTCAAATATATATATATTTTTAACCATTTTAAATTTTAAAAATTCATTTGCTAACCTGCAAAACAATTTGTGGGAGTTTTTTCATTGTCGTTTTAATCCTGTAAAGGCTATAAAAAGCGAACAACTTGCGGTTTTCTCGTTCGCAAACGTCGGAAATTCAGTTTTTTTTCTACTAGCAGATGTGATACTAGCAGGCTAATATCCTGCCAGTAGAGAACCAATCAGATTGCAGAACACCTCATATCCAGACCTTGTGTATATAATAAATAATATTAATTAATAGATAATTACTGAGGCCAACGGCATTATTCGATATATTGCAGCCAGCTGAGGCCGAAGGGCGAAGCTGGCTGCAATATATCGAATAATGCCGTTTGGCCGAAGTAATTATCTATTTATTACTGACTCGAATCAAAAGTAATTATTTTCGGCTGGAAGACTACGTTGCTGCTTGTTGGGACCGTATGACAATGAATCTATCCAACGTTACACTAGACATTCGTGAGAACATGCATGTAATGCATCGTGATAGAACAGATTTCAGTTTAATTAATGGCCCTAAATTAAAATCTCCACAAGCGGAGGTCAATTATAGTGTTCTAGTTTACATATTATCATTAATGATAAGGTTAATTCAAAGAGCGTATTAAACTGGATAAACACGAGAATAGAACTTATGGTGTGTTCTGCACATGCGTATATCTAGGATAAAATTCCACAAGCGCAAACGAAACTATTTCTCTATAAAGTTGAGCTGAAAGGACTCACAGTGACCGTTTTGGCAGTGCTTCAGGCGCCCGATGATATTGTATGAAGGGCCTTTAGCACTGTCAACTTCTCATCTTGAGATGTCCACGTTATCGCGTGTACTTGTCAGGATGACGAAGGATTGCGAATAATGTCTGTGTGCACTGATACACGCTGCATTATTTTTAATAATGCTGTGTGCACGCTGCATTATTTTTAATAATGCTGTGTGCTATTTTAGCCCCGTATAAACATTTACCCCTGGGAATTTCCCTACAATAAAAAAAGACCGCTCCCGTTTTTCAGAAGAACGCTAAAACTTCTCAACATTCGCTGATATAATGCAGAGAAAACAATAGGTTATTATGACCGTCAGTAATTATTTATATATATTAGCTTTCATAGTTCCCAGCGACTTTATTTTCTGTTCAATTCTAATCAAGTGTGAAATGAATATGTAATATGAAGTTCTAAATAAAGTTGTTGTTTAAAGGGATATGGCAATATATATTTTTATTATTTCATTTTAAAGAACTTTTAAAGAACTTTATCATTTCTTGAAATATTTTGACTTAAAATAATTTGCTGTCCGCCATCTTGGATTAATTTTTATCTCATTATCGGTGATTTTAGTGACGTCAAAAGCAGAGTTAGCCATATAAGACTACATCTAAATGACCAAATAACATTAAGTCTTGTTGAAAAGTCGTCAGACAGTTTTTTATTTCAAATAGTTACTGAAGTATATGATTTTGGGTGCATAATAACCAATTGCTCTATGGTTTAAAATTCTTGCGTGACCTGCTTATGACGTCACATGCATACCCGCCAAAATCCAAGATGGCGGGAAGCTCGCTGATTTGTGATTTTTTCTGTTCAAATATCTCGAGAAACAATAAAGCATTTGTCAGGTTAACCTAGGACTAAGCTGACCAGATTTTGAAAAACCGGACCCCAGACCGGATTCCAAATGCAGAAGATAACGAACATATACAGCTATTTCAATTAAGGTTGTCCCCCGAGAAAAGCGGAAAAGTCGAATACGAGCGCGAAAGGATGCTGGGAATCGCTAATAAATGAATGAATTTATTAGCGATTCCCAGCAGCCATTCGCGCTTGTATTTGACTTTTCCGCTTTGCTCGGGGGACAACCTTAATTGAAATAGCTGTATACATAATCCGGAAAGTATACGTCACCTCGGCTATAGAGCCTCGTTTTCGTGATTGAAACGTGTGCTTTAACTGATGTCAGATCATAGAAATAATAGATATAGAATGCGTACTTGATCACGAATCATGTCTCCACTTTTTCTCATGCGTGCCCTTACAAATCCGCCATGTTTGAATTTGACTAGGAGTGCAAACTACAAAGTATAAACAAAGCTAAAACTGCGTTTTCATCGTCAAAACGTTTATCTTGTTGTCTAATTTGTAGTTTGGGGATAGATTTTGAGTTTTTTGAAGGCACAAACTGTCAAAGCAAATATGCAGTTACAAAAACGGTGAAAATCGTGCACCCTTGTAAACAAAGTATTTTCGCCGGTTTCTCGAAATTTACTCATAAAACATTTTTGCATGCTTTGAACGTCACTACTGTCACTGTTTTGCTAATTTTATATAATATCTTATAAGATTACAAAATGGTAGTTCTTTCTTCGTCGGGTTTCGTTTTTCTTTGATGTAAACGAAGGTTTTTTATTTTTTTGAAACAAAAATATTTAGTTGTCGATAGACTGTAAATTGTCTAAATAATCGTCGAAAACTATGGTTTCAAAAGCGTTGCCTCTGAGCACAAGCAACACAGAAAAATATGAAAAGTAATTGTGTAAGTTTAAAAAGATTACTGAACTTCATTTATATTATATTATATTATATTATATTATATTATATTATATTATATTATATTATATTATATTATATTATATTATATCATATTATATCATATCATATTATATTATATTATATTATATTATATTATATTATAAAAAAGTTGAAATATTTATAGAACATAGCTGTTGAGTTTGAGTTTGTCTTGATCTTTCGGGTTTTGTTTTGGCTTGCACAACAACGTTGAAAATTTATTTTTAAACGATGATTTCTGTATATATTCTGTTCAGAACTGTTGCTTTTCGTAAAAAAGCCCACTAGAATGGGTTTTTAGACACTTTTTTCCCATTTTAAGTCTCGATATAAAATTTTTTTGCAAACTTTGCATTTGAAAAAACAATGTGCACTCTCTGCAACCGCGCGAAATTCCTACTGAAATTCCCTGTCGCCTGGGAACCAAAATGCCCTTATAAATCCGCCATTTTGTGGAGACAAATTTTTCACTGAGAAAAGATAGGAGTACGCATTCTATATCTATTATTTCTATGTGTCAGATACACGAAAACGAGGCTCCAAAGTGACGTATTTCCGGAAGGGTGTATTAAAAAGTATTTTTCCGAGTGATTTTAGCGAGTTTGCCAATGGTCGGCCCGTATCGGGAACGGCCTGCACCTACGAATGCATACGTCGAAGGTTTGAATCAAACCTTTTTTGAGTCTCCAAGGTTAGGTTTAGGGTTATTAAAATCTAAAAATCTCACTTTTATAATTCGCAGCAACTGAACGAACGCCACCTTGAAACAGCTTGGCAAAGTGGAAAAAATAGGTACGCAATGCGTACATGTTGCATGCCATCTGAAACTTTATGATGCGCTAGTGCTTATAACTTTTGGTACAACTGACTTGAAACTAAAAATATTTGTTCAGTAAGCTTAACATCAATATATTTATTGAAAAATAATACGTGAATAGGCAATGTTTTTATGAGCGACCGTTCATTGTGCAATAGAACAGCAATGTATATGCGCTATAGAAATGTTATTATTATTATTATTATTATTATTGTTAGTTGCAAGGGGCGGTAATAAGAAGGTCAAGGTTTCCTTTACAAATTTATAACTAAATGTTATTTCCTACAAATTTAGCTTATTGTAACCTTTTGAAGGTATAAAAACCAACGGAAACGGTGAATTACTATAATAAATTGAAAATTATGATAGAAATTATCGAAGTAGATTATTTCGTTGTATTAAATTTCAATAGTATTATAAATGAGAATTTTGTTTGATATTTATATTTTATGTTATTTACAAAATGTACTGCATATCGTTTTGAAGTTTTGTACACAATACTATCAGTGCGAGAACAATGGCTCCGTTTCAGTTTGAGTATAAAATTGAGTATTTTGATAGCGTGGCCTTTCACGCTATATAATAAACCTCGTAATAAACTCCTGATAAATAATCAGTGCGAGCACAACGGCTCCAAAATCACAACAAATAACAGAATATAAGGTAAAAAAAAACCTAGCAAAGCTTTACCTACCTCGATCTATTTTTCTAAGGCGCTCCATTACGTAAATTTTCGGCGAACAATCAACATTTTCTTTGCGTTTGCTCGACGAAAACGTGCACATGATTCAAAATATATAATTATGCTTATTATGCTCGTAAATGCTCGTCGGTATAACTCGGTATTTGTCGTACTTGACGCATTACCTCACATTCCACGTGATCTGCCGCAAGTTTAACCACCAACAACGGACACGAATTTTAAGCTATATGATAGTTGCATCACATGCAACAAAAAGTGAGCGCAAAATATTAAATTGCCCGCCAAAGATTGCGAGGGCTGTGCTTAGGTATACAGAATCAGATAGACAGTTCAAATTTGACAAATGTCACGACGGGATCGGAATTTGGTGGGCACGAATGACTTTTAAATTAACGGTTCCTATAAACAGCTAATTTAACTAAAAATCATGCATGGAGAAAGTACGCTGGTCATACTCGGATTTGATATATTTCTAGCTATTGCCTTGCTAGCAAAACAACTATACTTTCCAAACATGAAGTATTTGAAGCGGTTGTCCCACTATCATTTTATTCTATACATTTTAAAAATTGAACAAAAAACAAAATTATTATTTTTAATTACAAAATTATGAATTTCCCAAATATATATGTTAGGTATGTTATTATGCTTAATGTAAAATTTCAATTTAATGTACAATTCAACCATAGACTTCGCAAAACGTTCTGAAATGTTGATAAACCCTTTTATTGATAAACTCTGAGTTTGAAATATAATCATTTCAAGTTATGTAATTCTCGTCTTTATTTAAAGACTTTATAATCTAGAAGAATAAAAAAGGGTAATTTAATTGGGATTATAAGACTTTGATACCTGAACTGCGAAGAATTTCGTCCAAACGAGGTTTTGCCTTATCATATTCTGTATCATTATAATATCTTCGTAATAAAGGATCTTCAGTGTTGTGCAGGCTGTCTGCAAACCGTAAGATGGCCAACAACGCGGACATGAAACCATCTGGGACCTCATCTCGCAACGTAATACGACGGACCTCCAGCAGTAATTGTATTTGTGGTTCTGAAATGGAAATAAAGCATGAATAGAAAAAATATCCCTGTACCCCTGATTATTAGATCTGCATGTGATGAAAATTACCAAAGAAGTAGCGAGTAAAAATTACAATTTCTTCTCCAACACAGTATTACATATTACAAATTGCTTTCGTCCAAAAAGTAATTAATTATGAATTACTAATTACAATTGTTACAAAGCAATTTATATCTAATTTCTTTTCAGATTACGTTTTATTTAATACGTATTGTGTTAACCTTCGACAGCTGAACGTTCACCTACACTTGTCCACAACGTTTTACTTGCCGAGTCTGTTAGGCCTGTTTCACATGTCTGAATTCAATAGGTTGGACTATGTACATGCGAAATTCGACCTCTGAAACAGTTAAATTCGACGTTTCTAATTATGGTCGACCGTAACTTTACATTCGACCGATGCGGTCGCAAAATGCGAGCAAAGTGTGACCTGGGGCGCTTTCCATTAACACGGCCAGACTTGGTCAGAACGGTCAAATTGTTGAATGGAACACAAAACGGTTGGGCTTCGGACCTATCTGACCGGAAAATTTAGATAGCATTAGAATGAGGTCCATTTTCGCTAGATATTTGAGAAACATAGACCAGATCTTTCCATTAATACAGAGACAAAAATTTGGGTCTGACGGGTCCGACCATTAAATGGAAAGCGCCCCTAATTTCAGAAGTCGCAAATTTAATTCAACGTAAACTGGAAAAACGTATTTTTGATCACTCCATTTGTAGCATTTATATATGTATACGCAGCCGGTCGGAACGGGCAACAGTTCTTCACTTGTTGCCCAGCAGGATTATATAAATCCACGTGACCACAAATCAGCCAATCATGTTTAGTTTCAGCACTAGCTATTTAACAATGATTCAACATCTGTCCAAGATTCAAGTGTACGACTCACTATATGTCCTATATGTAATATGTTATATTACTACCAACCTTTATTTTTGGTAGGATAAGTTCGTTTCATTCCAAACCACTTGCTTTCTTTGCCAATAATCCCTTTCTCAACAAAATAATCGAGAACGACTGAAACACAGTTTTTGTCAGCATCACCTATGACACAATATTCGATCCAGTCTTTTAGGTCCCTCACATTTCCGCGCTCATGCACTGCGATCATCTCACTGAAGCCAGCGCCATCCAGAAAAGATCCAGTTTTTGTAGCGTCCAGTACCTAAATATACACATGTAAAAAAGTAACCATTTTACCAAAAATTAAAAAAAAACACGTTACTTTTTAACTGAATGTGTAAATTTTATTTTCTATCTCGACTTTTAATGCCATTTCGTAACCCAGAAGCGTAGCCAGGGCTGGGGCCGGGAGACCCCCGGCCTCCCCCTGGCAAAATTTTGCCCCCCCCTGACAAAATGTATTGTATAAAAAAGAGAATCCTTGATTATATAACTTCATGCTGTCAATAATGCAAAAATTCTGTAGAATATATGCTTTGCTGCGCATCGGTGTGAAACCTAAAATCTTGTTCGCTTATTTGCGGCACACAGCTTGAAACACATACCTTTTCTAACCCTAATTATTTCAATATGTATTAAATGAGGGTTAGATGAAGTTTAAACCAATCTGTTTTTTACCAGTGATTTCTTAACGCGGGCTCGGCAGTGGCGCCGTGCCGCCCCCCCCCCCCTATTGTTATGACCCGTCGAAAAATTGTCAATGTTGTGGAAATCTTCGTGGTGAAGCATCGGAAAAAGTAATACGGAAATGGGGAAAAGTGCTACGAAAGCAATTGTAATGTTATTGTTCGGAAATTTTTTTTACCAAAAAAGGCGGGACATTTAAAATGTTGTGGTCTGGAAACTTTTTGGCCCCACCTGGGTTTTTGCTGGTCCCCCTGACCAAAAATCCTGGCTACGCCTCTGTCTTAACCCGTTAGCCTGTTTTTACGTTTTGGAAACTTATTTCAACACTGATTTTTTAAATCAACGGACATAACTAGTAAAATTGTTACACCCAAAGCATTGTTTTTCTTCGTGTTCGCAATTCTCACTACTCGTTAAGTCATCAAATCCGGTACAAAAATTACCGGCAACCACGGCTCATGACTAGCCATGCAAATCATGTTTGACGACACAAATATCCGTCGTTTCACGAGAACAAATACTGGCAATTCACGGCTCACGAAAATACCCTATCGCAAAATGCAATCGCTTGAAGGCAGAAGATACGACACTTATATAAATACAAGCAGGATATTGAATACTTCAGGTACCGTACACTCTATTTTAAATATCAAGGTCAAATTGAATGGACCTTATGCATAATGACGTCATTAGGTGTGATGAGCGCGGTGAATTCTGGTCTCAGTAGTCACGGCGGGAAAACAATTCAGTATATGGCCACTGTCTAAGGTGAGCGTGCTGCATGCTGTTCTTTGCCGTATTTTAGAGGCTGTTCAAGCCCATGAAGAGTAGTCTAGTTCTTTCATTTCAGAACTCTGACATGGGTCTTTAGGGATTTCCCACCCTGAAAATAGCGGCAAAAATCCGCTAATTCATCCACTAGTACAGGTAAAAGAAGTGGAGATGCTGGCAATTTTACGTGCAGTGTTTCAGGATGTTTTATCGGGGCATTGCACGGCTGTTCTTCGCCAGCTTATTCTCCAACGTTTCGTGGTTAAACGGAGGCCGTTTTGCCAATGATTTTGTCCAACCTTTCGCGTCGGCGTTGATGATGTCTTCTTTCGTCTTGAAATCAGCGAGACGCTATCGAGGCAGAAAATTCTTTCAGACTGTTGCCTTCATTTTCATGTTGTTTGTTGGATAGTTTCCCCCCACGGAGATTACAAAAGAATAGAGTGGGTATTCAGGGAGAAATAGAGGGACAAATTGACTTAAAGCTTCCAGTTGGGAGCAAATTTCAGGAATTTCCGGATGTAAATTTTTGTTGCCCGGACGTAGAAGCGCGATCTGATTGACTAAAATTTCGTTGATAGGGTGTGAATTCCCATTCGCGGTGTCAAGCGAAATTTCTGACCTCTGCGAAATACCTGAGCAGCCGTGACGGCTCATGTATTTCGCGCACATGGGCGCGAAATACATGACGCTTACTAAATACATGACTGGGTCGAAAACATCTTTTTAGGGTTTATCTGATATTTTATCTTTGCAATAATGTATCGCATCTACCTCTGAAACTGGTTCAGTTTAATATCTATGACATAGTCATATGAGATCTGTTATGAAATTAAGAATGACGCTTTAATACAAAACAAGTTTTGAAACGGTAGAACTGTTGTAAGGTGCTTTTTTTCGATGTAGAAGAGCGGCGCTTTTTCGTAACTTCGGCACGTCCAAATTTCCAGGATATAAAACGGAAATTCCTTAATTCTTCGCCACAAATAAACGTAAAACAGCCAGGACTGTTGATAAAAATTTCTTGGTTTTTCATCCGGGTCATAACTCAAATTTGCCCCCAGCTTCGATTTGTCCCTTTCGTTTGCCTGAACTTTTCCTCAAATGCCCACTCTATTCTTTTATAATCTCTATGGTTTTCTCGCAGTGATTACTAAGACCATGCAGAATTCGCCGCGAGCATCACACCTAATGAGGTCTATTAGTCATAAAGTATATACGTGCACAAACCTTAATCCGGTCGCTTTTCACCAACAGTCAAGTTCATATTTAGTATCCAATCAAAATGTCCCAGGGAAAATGTCAATTGCACATAAGGTACCGGTCATAAAGTAACTGCTAGGGTGGGCTGGAGTGATTTGGGATGGGCCATGGAAAATCTTTGGGCAGTTTCGATGGGCCGCCAATATTTTTTGTATGTCTACGGTGGGTCACCAAACAAAAACCCATGTATGTCTACTTCAAAAAATAAAGATATTAATAATAAAAGTAAACAAAACTATCCAAATTATCAAATGCAAATGATTCTATTGAAGCCAGTACTTTGTTTATACAACAAGAAGAAGTAGTCGAATCACAGCAAATACAACCAACTGGAGAGCAGCTCAGTCGTATCGTAATTGGTGATGAATGTGTTGGTCAAGCTTGGTGGAATTCAATTATGTCAATACAGTGCCGTGTATATTTACAATGTTCATATACCTGCAAGTTTTTTTAAGTTATAAAAGTGCATTTTCCCAATTTAGATTGGGTGGGTCATGAAATTTTTTTTGTAAGATTAGATGGGCTTTGAATTTTTTATCTACATCCTAAGTTGGGTCACCAAACTTATTGGCAAAATTTGTGATTTGCCTCCAGCCCACCCTAGCAGTCACTTTATGACCAGTCCCTAACAACAACAATGAAACTGCGAAATACATTATGAACAACAGTGTAATCTAATTAGCCTTTCTCACGTCGCCATTTTTGGGTGTCAACCTTTTAGAACAGGGATAGTAAGCAGTGATAATGAAACTTTCTATAACTATAGTTGTTAGTATAATCATTATAAATTGATTTACAGTTAAATATTTGAAAAATTATTTTCACATCGCTTATATTTTAAATTATAATATATAGCATTTCTAAATTCTGAACGCTGATTGGCTAAGAGCCGTGTTGATATAACTCAATGTCAACACGGAAACGTCGGAAAATTTCTTTCTTTATATTTCTTTGTGCTATATTATAAAACAAATATAAAACATTTTTTCCGTATTGATATACAGTTATATCAACACTCGTGGAAGTTGGGAAAACTCGAAACTGTGTGAAAACACTCCGCCCTTCGTGTTTCCACACAATTTCTCGTTTTCCCAATTTCCACTCGTGTTGACGTAACTGTATATCAACACGGAAAATGTTTTATATTTGTTAAATAGTACCCAAAATTGGCGGATTTAGACCTTCGTGAGAAAGGTAGACTTGGACCTCGCGCGTCCAATCCCTCGGACTCTTGAGAGACGGACTTGATCCAAGTCTAGAGAAAGGCTAATTAGCTCTAACAATCAAAAGACAGATTACAATTTTTTGTCTGCTGTACCATGCAATTAGCTGAAAAGCCGGATTTTTCACATGCGGCCAGACAAGGATTTGTGTCATGCCCTGTTTTGTCTTCCATCCACCCGCATTTTGGGGCGGAAAATACTTATAGATACTTAGGCTAGGGGCAATCTGTCCATGACACATACTTTTATCACTGCTTTTACACATTCGTCCGTTAGTTTTCCTCTTACTTCTATATCAATCTTGTCAGCAGCCCAAAGATCCAGTATAACAGAGGCATAAGCGCAAGAGATCAATTTGTCCGAAGTTTTTCTACCATTCACTGTTCCAAGACCTCGATGATGCCACAATAAGCAATAACCTTCGCATAATTTCATTTCTCTCTTTGCTATACTGTTCTTGTCAAGCTTTGGTAATATTTGAGAAATAAAGTTGTTTACTTTTCTCGGTATATTTTCTGATTCTCCAGAACTACTACTCAAGCCCGCGGCAACACCTCCCGCAACACCGCCGGCGACTGCTGCCATGATCTGTCCAATAGAAAGATATTAAACAAAATATATTGTAAAAACTCTCTATGTGGCATCTTTCCAATTACGATAACTCTCAAACAGGGATAGTTTCTACATCGCCCAAATGTCTCGTACATTTCCATTAGTAGTTATCGGGAATGAAGATGATATTAATTCCCACGCAAGTTCGGCTGATTTAGTTATCGTCGATAACGAACGTGTGTGTACATGCAACAGGACTCAGAACTTTCTTAATCTTTGGAATCTACTTACTGTAATTTCAGCCTCTTGTTGACATTTGCGCTCCTCAGAAGGTCAGCGGAAACATCCACTAATTATGGCAGCACATCATGAGTGCTGAACTTTGCGCAGTTAAATTGCGTGCAGGCGTTACGGTGAGAACCAAGGAACTTATAGTTTTTGGATTAGCTGCTAAATCAACATCTCATTGCCTAATAAAGGACACATTGGACAAAACTAATAATAATTCTTAATAAAAAGTGCACTATCTGTAAATCACGTGGGCATCTTAAAATCCCACCTAATCAGCCTACTGGGTAATCCGCCACGTCACAGTTTCCCCGAGCCGACGGCGCGAAGCGCCGTGCGAGGGTACTAATTCCCCCCGGCTATTTACACCCGGGGAAACGAAAGCATTAGGGAAGTCTAAAGTTCGTCAATTATCGCGGGCGTGGGTGACCAACGATGGGTGGTCATCCTCACTGATCTCAAAAATATGGCGGACTGTCATGAATAGCGGACACTGATTGGTCCAATTTAAAGTTTGCATTATAATGACTGCATGACGACAGCGAAATAGCAAACATATCTTGATTTGATGATTGATTAATTTTTCGCTCGCATTTTTGCAAGATTTTGTAAATTTCAAAAGTTTCCTCATAAAGAAAGGGCGAAAGAATCGGTTAAAAGAAGGGAGCCGACGTTAACGAAGGTAAGTTTGTTTTAAATATTGATTTTATAATGGTTTAAAACCCGACGGCCTTTGCGTATATGAAACAACTAAACAAGACAGCATATAATTTCAGTGTATCAATTTAATATTGATTCCCTTTTTTATTATATTGAATTTTTTAAATAAAAAAGAAAGCAAAGTTTATATATTATTATTATTATATTATTATTTATATTATTATTATTAATAATATTAATTATTTTCATTATTAATATTAATTATTATTAATATTAATTGGACATCATCATTATTATTAATAATTGGACATCTTATTAACCCATTGAGTGCCAGCACTCTCCCCTTGTTGAGTAAAATTAGACAGGGTAAGACAATAAAGTGGGGTGCAATGCAACTTAACAGGTTGCATTGGAGGTGTTATCTGCCCATTGCGGCATTGCCCCTAACCTTTGTGGCCATATATGGCTTGTAGATTTGCTTTCTTTAACCCATTGAGCTGCAATGCGCCCCAGTGCGCCCTACTTACAGTATTTTTTACTTGTCTAATATTATTCACATGGTTGTACTGGTCAGAATTTTTCCAAAGCGGCCCCAGGGGATATATTGAGCGAGATAAGATTGATAGTTTATGCATGGTACCAGACATGCAGAAAATTCAAAAAATATACGTGGAACCAAGAACGTTACAGTTGCATGGATCATTTGGCCATGCAGGAAGGGATCATGATCAGGCCATGCAGGAAGTGATCATGATCAGGCCATGCAGGAAGTGATCATGATCAGGCCATGCAGGAAGTGATCATGATCAGGCCATGCAGGAAGTGAGGCGTAAAAAAAACCCTGTGGTTCCAGTTCCCGACCGACCCTATTTTTTCTGCCGACCCTATTATTTTTTCAACGCGATTGACCGTGCGACCCTATTTTCTCCAGGTGTGCAGGCTGCTCATACAGCGTGTCAAAATGGCGTCTGTTGTCACACTAATTATTGAACCAAATTGCCTAAATTCGTCCATAGGAAATATGCATCTCTAGTTAATATTGATGTCGGGACTCTACTGCAAATCGCCCAGCAAAAAACCGCCAAAACCATGAAAAAATATTCAAACAAAAAATTTATTTCCGACCTACCAACCCTAAATTTTTTACGATATGAAACTGGAACCACAGGTATTTTTTTTACGCTTGATCACCAGACCTGGAAATAATTCTAGCCTTTCTTGGATCAGGGGGGAAATAGGCCAGGGGGAAATATTTTCTTTGATGAAAACACTGTTATCAAATTTAGGCCGGGGGCAGTTTCTTTGAAAACACTAGCTGTCATAAAATTTAGTTGGTTTAACAGCACTTAAATTTTGACTACCCTTACAAAAATTGTATGCATGCTTCATGCATGCTTCATGCATGAAGCATACATGCAGAACTATTTGCATGTATGCATGCATGCATTCATGCAGATTTGCTGATGTTTGCATGCATAATTGCATGCATGCAAGCATGTAGCATACATGCATAAGTATGAAGCATGCATGCAGAACAGCATTTGCATGTATGCATGCATGCATTCATGCAGATTTGCTGATGTTTGCATGCATAATTGCATGCATGCAAGCATGTAGCATACATGCATAAGTACATGCAAAATTAGCAAGCAAGCTAGTAATTGCAAGCATTAACAGCATGCATTTATAGGTATGTGTATGCATGCACATACATGCATGCAGGTCAGCAAGCATGCAACATGCATGAATAGGTAATTGCATGACTAAATGCAAATACTTATTCATGCTGCAATTTGCTTGTAAACCATGCCAAAAATTGCATGCATGCATGCATTAATACGTGCATTGAAAGGCATATAAATGTTTTGGCAATTTAATATTTGCAAGATGAAGTGTCTTATGCATGCACACAGATTACAATGCATGCAGTAGAGTGCACCTGTAGTCATTCTATTTATCCAATACAGATTAATGGCATGCAAGCAGTAATGTCTAATGCAGACCTAGTTCACAATTAAAATATAAAATAGCAACAATTATTTACAGTAAGGGACCGGTCATAAAGTAAAAGGGGGGGGCCGGCAAAAATAGGGGGTGGGTCACTATTTTTGAGCATGGTTGAAGGGGTGGGTCATCAAAAGTTAAGCGCAATCATAAGGGTGGGCCATGTAAAAATATGCAGAAGATTGGGCGCCAGTAATTTTTTTTGTGTTAAAAATTTCGGCGCAAAGAACAAGATACCAATTGCAACATACTTGTGCGGAAAATTTTTTACCTAAAAAGTTGTCAACGGGGGGGGGGGGGGTTCTTGTCCGAAAAAAAATTTTCCGGAAAGAATTGGAAAAGGGTGGGTCTCCAAAAGTGCAGACACCAAATACATATATGATTTCCCCCCCCCCTTTTACTTTATGACCGGTCCCTAAATTAAATACTTTACGTATAACAGGTCAACAGATCAAGTTAATTAGTCTGACTCCCAGCAATTTGGGGTCCTGCATACATAGGCAACAGAGGGCAGACAACCGACAGCTACTAGCTTCTCTTTGATGTTGGCAATGGGGATATACGAAATCTGTTCAGCACTGCTAAAAAATAAAGCAAGTTATTTTAATACTGATATTACAGATCTACTGTAAGTGTTGCACTTGTAAATGAGCATATCTCTTAAATGTTCACCTCACGTTTAATTATGTTGGTTTTATTACCAAAATTTATTTCATTCATAATCTAAAAGGTTCAGCCTCAGTTACCTTTCCTCATGAAATGGTAGTAGATGATGACCAAGGTCTTTATTGATGGTTGAAACCGCAACATTTGCCATAATAGCTTCATCTGGGAATGATTTCATTTCATACATGGCAGCCAAAAAGTGACAAATGTTCTCAACTTGATCTTTTACCTTCAGAAAATAGGCAATCTCTCCAACTCTACCATCACCGGTGTTTGATGTATACATTACAGTATAACTGTTTCGCTTTTTTACTTTTTCACAGGCCTTGCTATAAAACATATTTTTTCGAAAAATAATTTTTTTGAAAGAATACAACTCTAATTGAGAGTTGACAGCTGTTCCTGGTATCAATTCATTTAGACAAGCTTTTTCCATTGTTGTTAAGTTGACCCTGGACAAGGAACCAACAGAATAGCAACCGGGAAAAATATCAACAACATTGTTGCTATATAAAGAAGAAAATACAACGAGAATGTTCAGCTGTATAGTTAATGTAGTACATTATGTTTAATGGGAGAAAGATTAGAATTGCCATATATTAATAAGTAAAACACACTCTGCCCTAAATTAAATCTGCACAAAATGTATCCAAACTGACCTATTAGAACTGTTCAATGTCTTCATGAATGAAATCAAATCTCCTGAAGTTTCAGACACATCGGATGTCTCCAGAACAGCAATCTTCTGTATTCCTTTAACCGCAGCAACTACCTACAAAATATATGATTCAGCAGCATAATTGTTCATTAATCATTGACATCATCAAAATTACCTGAAAAAAGGTTGTTGAAAATTAATATTGTAAGCTTACCTGGACAGCAACATGGTGGGTTCCATGAATTAGTTTGGTCATTGTGCCATTCCAGCTTTCAAATCCAAAACAGGAAAAGGCCCATAATGGCCCTGCAAGTTTGACACTGCTGGTCAAATGCTTGCATGTGTTATGAACATTGATGGTACAACACTTTTTCCCTATAATTATATTCAAAAATAAGATACAGGCAATTAAGCCTGACTTAATATCTTAAAAGCATATTCTGCCCAACACAATATATATGTCACATGTTAATTTCAATTGAAATTTAATGTACAGTGTACCATAATACATTTGAGTGAGACAGTAGAATTCTTCCAGCTGTTTATCGGATGTGATGATACCGGCTTCAGTGACTGGGTGCTGTAGTAATGAATAGATGGAGGTCACCAGCAATGCATAATGGCAGTAATACTCATCTGCCAAAATCCCTTTTAGCACAGGCAGAGAATAAAACAACAACCATGATCTCACTTCAGAAGCTAAAAAAATTAAATCTGTAATTAGTACATTGTAAATGTATTACCCATACTGGCAGATTCCTTGTACCATCTATGAGTAATTGAGGACAGTTTTTAACCCGGCCTATGAACTGCATTTAATTTCTAGCTTCTACAGTGCTGCAGTATTAGTTGAATTGACAAATTATGGAAATTAGTAATTTGAACAATGTTTACCTTTCCAATACTTTCTGTCCTTAACCAAACTACGTGGCAGTCTTGAAATGAAATCTGGTGGTTTGCACTTTGACAGTCGGTCATCGATAATGGCAATTTTGTTACCAATGAAGTAATTTTCTTTTTTATGCTTTGCATCAAACCACAAGTTGAACAACATCTTCACAACCCCAAGCAACACACCATGCATATAATCTAATGGCATTCCATTGATCATGTCAAACCCATCAATTAGGCACAACTGTGACATGTGCTTCACACCACGAACCTTGTCAATTGGTAATTATTTAGTTAGTAGCAGTGTGATTGGGATAAATGGAGACCATAATATGGTGCTGTATTTCATTGTTGACTCTCACAGACATCTTCAACCCCTGCCAGATAATAAATGATACCCTGACTTACCGGTAATCCAACATGTTGAGCTTGTTGAGCCTGGGTAAAAACCTTTTTGCTGCTCCTTAGATTGTTAGGTGGGCCAACAGTATAAGGATAGCATCTTGAGTGACCTTTCCCGACAGACACAACTTCTCCTTCTTGTTCGCAAAATGAACACCCACACTTGCCATTAAACTGTGTGAAAGCTTGTACTGCAGATTTACCAGGGAGATCGGTTGCCCCCAACAAGCAAATAGCACGACAAATGAAACTCCTTCCATTGCAGTCCACAGAGATTCCTAGAGAATTCAAAGTTATAATTAAAGAAAATTCATACTTACATTTATTCATCTTTAAGCTTGCCTCAAAAGACTTCAAAATTAGACGAATCAGTTAGAAACATGGATTCTCTGTATCATTTCAAGTTTTTACTAAATTCATGTCCTATATACCTGTAACTACTCTTCTATTCTGTTCTTTTATCACCATTACTTTATTAGGCTTATATAATTACCATCTTTCTTTAAAGCATTTAACTGCTTGCGGATAGGATCCAAAAATGTTGTCATTGATGGCTTACCAGGCCCAAACCAAATTCCACCAAGCATCATCCTTTTTGTGCTGAATCTTAAAAAAATCAATGCTCATAATCATATATTTGAAGCACCGATTAGTCATATAATGCCTTTCATAACTAATTCAGCACTTAACCAACTTTCATCTGTTCCAATTTTAATGTCAACACTGCCACTGTACACTTAGTCACTTCACAACATGAACAATGATGAACAATGATTTTTGTTACCATAATCTCAAATCTAGCATACCTTACAGATGGATGAACTTCATTCACTACCAAAAGAAAAGGCCAAATTTCATCCCTGGAAGCCTTAAAGGCATGAACTCCATCCGTATTGAACAGAAATGATAGATTATTCTCACTAGTGAGAAAACCACCAGGTTTCAACAATTCTCCATACAGGTCACCATCCATGACATCATACCACTCTCTTTCACTCTTATCCAAGGACAGAGTTGAATGTTTTCGTGCTCTAAATCCATATTTAATATCCTCACCAAAAGTTTCATCTATATTTTAAAAACAATAACAACTGTGTAAAAAAGAAGTTCTTAACAGTCTAATAACAGCTTAAGGATAGAATCATATTAATGCAAAATTGATTTTTTGTCAAACTTACCTTGAAACATCTGTTTTATTTGACCTGCTATGTCCAGGGTCAAAAAATAATTGTTCCTTCTTAATAAGTTGGTATTTCCACAAACTGAACAAATATTTTGACTACTTTGCAAAGGGCCAGAGAAACAGCTTTGACAATAATAATTGACAGTTACAATCTCATCCTGGTCCCCCTTGGAGTTGAATGCCTTTTTAAGAAAATATAGAGATTTGAGATGCTCTTTGTCACTACCGTATGGAAGATGAAGAGAAAGCAACCCCAACAGATCATTAACTGCGGCATATGTCATCTTGTGTTTCAGCGAGTATTTCATTATGCTAATAATGCTTTCCGTTACCGTGATGGTAGCCCCAGGATAAAGCGGAACACGGGAGTCTGAATCATTATGTTGTGCCACTGCTTCATCTTCAGAATCTGAACTGCTATCTGATTCCCTGCAGTATACTTCATCATTGTCTCTGTAGTCATCGTCTTCAATTAAATGGAATGCATCACCATCCGCTTCAAGCAAATCAGTGTCGGGCAAAGTGTTTTCATGGGTGTTTTCTTGACTTGGCGACACGTAATTAAAGGCATTAAACTGGTCGACATCATCTGAGGGGTCAAATACTTGCTGTAGATCAGTGCCACTGGTAGTTAAACCAGCAACACATTGCTCATTCTGGACATTCCCAACGTCCAAAGCAGTTGCAGTATCGCTTTTTTCTGCAACAGTATCTCCACCATTTAATACATTGTCGTGAACAGTGTTAAAACTTGTTCTTGTATTCTTCTTTAAACGTGCAAGTGTCCTCTTGGGGATTGGAATATTTGGGTTACTTTGCCACTCCTTGTACCTTTTCCGTCTTGGCAACATTTTTATTATTTTACAGTATCAACTAATTTAACGAGATGAACCGTTTTTTTTTCGTTTTTCGATTGACAGTTGTTTTCAGCTAGCCTTTGTCCACTGTGACCTCGACTCCATGTTAATTCGATTCTGACCAATCACAGCTCCGCGCGCGAAAATGCTTATAAATATTCGTGTTTTTCGTGAGAACTTCAATCAGACTTGCACTAAAGAACTGAACAGTTTTCGACTTTTCGTTTCGTACTGTTTCAAAAGCTCCTATTACTGAAGTTGAAAAAGATGTCAAAAATTAAAAGACCGCTAAGTTTCAAGTCTGCATTTGAACACGAAGACCATAGTGACCTTTCAGTTAGCGATTCGGAACACGAATTTGGAGCAACTTTTTGGGAAAGTGACCTCTTTGGAAGTGACAGTGAAAAAGACGGCCCCGCTCCTGTGAAACGACAACACAAAATACCCAAGAAGTACAAAGGATATCTCGGACCTTCCTCGCAATCACCACAAGAAATACTAAAGGGTAAGTAATTTATTTCTGTTAAAATATTTATTAAATCGGACTAAAGATGCGTAAAAAACTCCGTAATGAAAATCAAAAAGTAAAAAGTACGGTACATCATATCATATTTTATACCTACGGCTACCCCTTAAAAACGAACTGTTTCTTGGCTCTTTTTCATTACACGTTTATACTGGTGTGCCACTTTATCTTTTTCCACGTTTACGATATTTGTCGAAGTTTTATACTGTCATATGCACTACGAGAAACTTAACGAGTAAATTATTAATCGATGAAAGAAATTCAACTGTTCAAGCAACTGCAACGAGTCGTTGTCATAGCAGCAGCACAGCATAAATCTGAATTCAAGATGGCGGCTGGGAAATTCTTTCTATTTTTCTACGTTTTAAGTCAAACTCTAGCTATGAAATATATTTTCACTGATTAATACAGGTTGGTGTATCATTGAATGGGCTGGTGAGGATGCTTATGATGCAGTGGCCAAGAAAGATATATCCTCACTGGAAAACGAGCTAAGTTGCCCTAAGTTCGAAATTGGAGAAAATGTGCTAGCCCTATATTGTGGAAAACCTTTTCAAGGAATAATTGCTGCTACTGCAGGTTTGTCATAGCAATACACATTCTACAATACCGGTATTTACGTCCACTGAAATTTAAAATTCACAATCACTTTTATATTATTTAAATTAAATTTATGATCGAATTTAAAGCATTAGAGCTGTCAAAGAAGCTTCTGGTTCGAAAAATTTTTAAATCATAGGTCGCCGATGTGGGATTGAAACACTACAACTCAAGTAGCCAAGAATTTTATTTCATTTGTATATTATTTATTTATTACAATTTTTGAAATTATCCCTGATTCTATTAATAGACTTCAAATGGCAATGAACTATATTTATTCATCAAATAATTTTCATTAAACAGACACAAAAGCAGCAGCTTTGAAACTGTATAAGTCCCATCAACAACCCAATTTTACTGATCGAAGCAAGTCAAGAAAAGACATTTCATTGTCTAACAAGTCTAACAAACTAAAAAGGATCGTGCATCATGAGTTGATATATACCAAACCAGTCCCTAACTTCACATCAGTAGAGGTGAGAAAAGAAGAAAATCTAAGTTTGGAAGGGCCGTCAAAGAAAAAAAAGGAGAAAAATAGAAGTGGGGACAAGACAGCAGAGCAAATGAGAAAGGAAGAGAAGGAAAGAAAGAACAAAGCTGAGCTGGCACAAATGCAAAATATCTGCAAGTCACCAGAAATAATTCAGATACAAGAAGAGGTAGCAGAAACAGAATTGATTGGAAAATGTTGTAAGGTAAGCTGCTTTCTCATTATTGTGCATGCGAGACACTGACATATATTTTTAATTTCTTGAATGTTATACATGCAGATGGCAAATTTTAATAGTGTTAAAGAACTTGGGTTGCTGGTTTGGGTTGTTCTAGGGGACCAAGCCTTAGCCATTAAATGAGCAACATTGTATAATGAAAATGCCAGTGGTAGAATAAGTAGCGACACAGAAAAAATTATAGAAGTCAGCAATTATGCAAAAGACAATACCAATTTGAAAATCTATACATGTTAATGCAGTTATGACCATGCTAACTGCAGTACGTACCATCATTTTTGTTAATCTCTGAGATGTATATTATATAGTGTTGTAAAAGAAACAAGCTTGCTATTGAACGGCATCAGCAAGAAATGGACTTAATGAGAAAGAGTAAGTACTGATATAAAATATTGTGACATTATTCATATGTAATACCATATATGGTTTCGATTCAAAAAAAAATAATTGCAATTTGGATAAAATATGCATGAGTGAATTTTTCAAAGATCATCAAAATTGCACATTAGTTTGAAGGATAAGTGCTATATTTTGAGGTCACAAGTGCATGTTTTATCCAAATTTCCTCCACATTGGGGAATTGATTTTTATTTACTAATTATTATCTTTTTAAATTGCAGAAATTTCAGCTCTTGCAGAATTAGACCTAGAAAGTATGAAGTCTAAAAGGCAGATGCAAAATAAGCCAGTGGTGAGATTTATAAAGAATGAAAGGCTTGGGGGCTTTTACTTATAATTCCATTTCCTTCCTTTAGCATTTAAGGCTGGCCCAATAAGTTGTTACCAGCAATAAATTAATCAACTTAATAGTATCAATTATATATGTTTCTAGTTGGGTTTTTTTTGTCAGGAATTTTCTTCAAAAACTCCCAATGTCATGTCTCAAAGACCCAGTGGATACTCCAGTGATTTAAAGTTAAAGGTGATAGAAACTGTTCAAGACAACTGTCCTGCAGTTGGAAACCCTGAAAAGGATAGCTGTCCTCAGGAGTTTTTTTATTCCAGTGCAACTATGAGTAGTGTGCCACACCATTTAAAAACAAAAGCAGCAAGTGCATCAGCTGTGACAAAGGCCACCAGAATTCTTGCTATTGGAATGTTTACATTTTTTGAAAGGCTGCATTGTACAATATCAGGTGCCACAGGCAAAAATGGTGCTACTGATTCTGCACAAGGCAAGAAATTTGATCACCACAGAGTAACTCTAATTCAAGGTAAAATTAATAAAACTGTTGATCTTGTATTGGGACAATTATGGGAATTAATATTGGCAATGTAGAACATTGAGTAATGTTTCAGAACCATTGCTATTATTGCTCATTTGATCATTTCAGATTTTCTGCGCACTGTGTATCCAAAGACCCACAATTTTGCTATTGTAAACCGCATTATTGGACAGGTGGCAATTGAGACAAGGAATGGCCGTCACAGACAATCTGATGAAATTGTGCTGTCCATCTTGAATGCCAAGACCGAGGAGAACATGAAGCAGTAAATCAGAACTGACATTAAATAGCAAAGTTTGCTACCTATTTATAGAATTACCTTTTTATTGAATTAGTATTTAAACTAATTTTTAAGCAAGTTGTTATGGCTTTCAGCTATATAATATTGTTTTAAAAATTTAAATCATCTCTAATTTATTTTAAATGGAAAATGCTGCAACTTATAGCATTTTTTTATCATAATACTTAGATTTATTAAAATTTATCACTCTCTTATGCTTGCAGTTATTATTCTGAATATATTTGAATGCAATTTTTTATGCAAGCATGTTATAGTGTCAATATTCATGCAGCCTATCTGCTGCATTAATCATGCATGCACATTTCATCTGCATGTTAATGCTTCACAATATGCCTGCACCCATCATGCATAATACATGCTACGTGCATGCATGCATGCATGCATGCATGCAAAGTACTTATTTGCATGCATGCATGCATGCTCAGCTAGCCGCTGCCTATTATAATTATTTAAATCTGCAGTCACATCATGCATGCTGCATATGCATGCATAATGCATGCAGAGAGTGCCAATTTGCATGCTTGCATCATGCATGCAACGCATGCATGCACTGCTTGCATGTTACATGCATGCATTGCTTGCGTGTTGCATGCATGCATAATTTGGGAAGGGTACAGCTGTTAGGTATTAACTGTGCTTCACAGCCTTCACTGTTAACAAAATTAATCTATTCAATTAATCAATAAATTGGATATTGGATAATATTAATTAATTCTATGTTACTAATGTTATAGCAACTTAGGTCTAATAGCATATCAAATTAAATTGTAATAAATGCTTATATAGTGTTATAACTAGGCGTAAAAAAAATTACCTGTGGTTCCGGTTCCCGACCGACCCTATTTTTTTTCTGCCGACCCTATTATTTTTTCAACGCGATTGACCGTGTGACTCTATTTTCTCCGGGTTGTTGCGGGCTGCTGCAAAAAATGGCGTCTATTGTCACACTAATTATTGAAAAAACCATGAAAAAAAAGATTTAAAAAAAAATTATTTCCGACCTACCGACCCTAATTTTTTGACAATATGAAACCGGAACCACAGGTATTTTTTTTATGCCCTACAACTGTAATAAGTTACAGTTGTACTTATAACTTATAAGTGTTTATTTGCTGTGTTGGTGTAATGTACTCAGGTGAATAAGATGCTTGTGTGATGTTACTCTGAGTGTACATCCACACCGGGCAGGCTTGAAAAATATGCCCCACCGTGGCCAGGCATATTTTTCAAGCCTGCCCGGTGTGGATGTACACTCAGAGTAACATCACACAAGCATTATAAGAGTGTTTGTTATTATTAATACCTAATCTGACATTTGCAAGTTGTGTGATATGATAAGTCGATAAAGAAATTTAAATTTCAAGGAATATTTTCATGTATGCTCAAGTGAAAAAACTTTTTTTAACCGATTTGTGCATCAGGTGATATCACTAATATATCAGCATTTTCAGTTCTAAGAAAATTTGAGAAATTTTTAACAAAGAAAGCCAAAGAAAATTGAAAATCCTTTCTGCAATCAAAAATTTTCTAGGAACGTCATTCCCAGGATCCACCACTATCTCCAAGTCTGGTGATCACAATCAGCACATACTATCAAATTGATGGCAATTGATAGCTTATCAATTGAATGTAAATATTGAAAAGCTGGCCGATCATTACTAAACAGTCAATGTCCAAGCAACTGCACAGCTGATTGGATCATCAAATATAAATAATTCTTTAACATCTAATAGAAAATCAAATTATCGATTGTTTATATATGTAGCTTTATGCAGCCCTCAAAAACTGTCAAGATTGAGGTTGGCAAAAAAATACCGAACTAAATCTGACCTAGGTCAGCATGTCCCGGCATTTTTAAAATCTGTAATCACGTATTTACGAATCATTGAAAGGTGTTAATTACACGATCAGTTCAGCTTTTCTTTTGGAGTCTTACCTAAATTATAATTATATAGAAATATATACCCGTCAATTTTTAAACCTTATACCGAAGTGTGTATAGTTAATCGAATCAAATTCTATAATCTCTGACTTTTCAACAGCTATCAGCACCAAAAACATTCTTACTTTGGCTGAATTAATTATAATTAGGGAGGTCATTCCGGTCGACATTGCCAAATGCCGACCTCGTTTTTGGAGGGCTGTTTATGAACCACATACAAATTTCTTTGTTATATATAGTTAACTTAAGTGTCAAAGTTCAATTTTTGTGTTTGCCTGAATTGGTCAAAACTGTATCATGTGCCTGTCCACAAAACATCATGTTCACTGTGTGCTTTGCTGAGGAGGCAACCGGTCCGCAATCAAATATTTATTGACCGGTCAATAATAAAATGGGTGCAATACGCATGCGTGTCAACCATGAAGTTCCAAAGTTCATTTTTTAATCTTTTTATAACTGTAAACATTTACGGCGTTCCATTTATCCAGTTTTGGTTTCAAATTAATTAAGTTCACTCCATTAACCGGTGAATTATTCATACTTTGACACTTATATACTATATAACAAAACACTTATTTACCAAGTCCTCGGGAAAGCAGTGTGTTTTGTGGCCCCGCTGTTGTTGCCATCGGCTTCGCCTTGGGCATCAATGGTGGGTCCACAAAACACACTGTTTCCCTCGGTCTCAGTAAATAAGGGCATTAATTCCATTTAATGGCCTGACCGGTCAGACCCGAATTATTTTCTCTGTATCAATGGTAAGATCTGGTGTATGATTCTCAAATATCTAGCGAAAGTGGACCTCATTCTAATGTTATCTAATTTTTCCGGTCAGATAGGTCCGAACCCCAAATGTTTTGTTATTTTTTGTGTTCCATTCAACAATTTGACCGTTCTGGCCCTGTTAATGGAAAGCACCCTAAGTGATAAATATACCTGCATGTACTATAATTTATAAAAATGATTTGCATAATGCAGCTATCAATATTAATCCCGGGGGTAAGGGTGCGGGCAATGTGTGGGGGATTTGATCGTGAATTCTATCCCCACAGACGGGCATTTGACAAAGATTTTTGCCCGGGTGCGGGCGATTTGCCATTCGACATAATTCAACATGCGATTTCAGTACAAAGCCTGGAGCCTAGAATAGACAAAACAGGAAGTCCGGAAACTTTTTATTTTTTATTTCCGCTTCGCTTAAGTCTTCTGGCCTTTTGGAATTTGAATACAGCACATATTCTGGATTCTGGGGATAAAATTTACGATGCCCAGATGCTTTTTGTGGCTCTTTATATTAAATGTTAAAATATTTTGCCTTGATCTATCCCCTGCGTGCATCTCTTTTGAAACATTTGATTATCTTAGAATGCCCCACCAGCGGGCATTTGACCCAATTTTTTAATTGACCCAATTTTTTAATTTTTTTATCAAATCCCCACCCATTGCCCGCAACCTTACCCCCCGGGATTAATATTGATAGGTGCATAATGCAAATCTAAATTAAAATCCTATAATTTGAGTTGGGACTTCGATTATTGACACTGGTTAGTATACAGTTGGGTTTCCACGTCACTGTATATTACGCAACTATAAATATAGTTGGGTTTCCATGTTGCAAATTAAATTCAAATATATTATATGCATTGAACGTTCTATCACAAATATCAACATTAGAAAAGTTTGTGTGTCGAAACTTCGGTAAACTTGCAAGTTCACAACAGTGAATAACACTCAATAACTCGTAAATAATGCGTAAAACTACGACTACATACCTGAAGATTGCATCGAATCCTGCTCGAGCCTCGAGACAACAACGTTTTGGTTTCGAGATCTAGATACAAAATAAATGTCACGAGACCTCACCATGCATCGCTTCCTTTGGTAATTCGGCCATTATTCAAAATGCGGAAACGGACACGCGGAGATGGCAAAGGCGGGCGCGGAAAAAAACTCTGAGCGCGCAAAGGATGATGGGTTATTGCTTATTTAAACACATAAACTTTGAAATTTGGGTTTGCAAGAGTACCTAAGACATATAGAAGACTCATGACAGAAAACATACTTGTTGTAAAGGCAATTCTCTGAGTTTAAGGGCCTATTAGGTGAACATCCATCATCCCTTGCGCACTCAGAGTTTAAAGGACATTGGCAATAAAAAATTAGTATGTCTCAATCAAAAGAACTCTTAAAATTATATATTAAACTCTATTACCGATTTGTCATATCTTGCTTAGTTCTCGAAATATTTAGACCGAAATTAATGAGCTTTCCGCCATCTTGGAAAAATTCTTTACCTCATTAACTATGGTTTTGATGACGTCAGGAGTTAGGTTAACCATATAAAACTACTCGAAAATGACCGAATAACAATCCAAAATTGTTTGAAATGTTTTTAATCATTTCTAAATTTCTGACAGCAACCAGAAACGAAGTTTGGACCCATATTGATCGCTTACTCTCAAGATAAAAAATTGGCGTAACCCCTCTCTTGACGTAACATGCATGCATATCCTCAATAATCCAAGGTGGCGAACAGCTCACTTTTTTCAGTCGAAATATTTTGAAAACTGAGATATAAACAGGGCCGTGCCAAGTGGTTTTTGGTTGGGGGGGGGGGTGAAATAAAAAATTTGGGCCCCCTCCCATTTGGGGGCCCCCTCAAAACAATTTTTCCGGAAACCAAATAATTTTTCTGGAAAATATTGGGGAGGGGGGAGGCCCCAAAAATTTTTTCAAACACTAGGTTTACATAATGGGGGCTTAAATTTAGTTTTGAAGACCTTTTAGACCAATTTTCCAGAAAATTCCTTAATATTTAACACGTTCCGCTTTCCAAGGCCCCCTCTCCGCAATTTGGGCTTTTTACTTTTCTTTGGGGGGTGATACACCCCCTACACCCCCCCAGGTGGCACGGCCCTGGATATAAACAATCTGTAACAGAGTTTAATATACAGTATAGTTTTAAGAGTTCTTTCAAATGAACTAAACTAATTTTTTATTGCCAATGTCCTTTAAGGTTTAGAAGAACAACCTTAATTGAATCAGCAGTGTATACGGATAAATAATTATTCGTACAAACAGAATAAACTATTTAATTAATAGACGAACTGTTCCATAGAATAATACCTTGGCAAAATCTTATCCTATAGTAACATGGTATAGTTGCATTCTGTTCCATTGTACTGAATTGTGGAAGAAAATGGCAGAGCAGATGGTTGATCTATGACTATGTGATGACCTTTAAGTGTCCAACTAGATTACTAGAACTGTCTTTATGATGGTATTTCGGTTTTCGCATCCCCATTTTTTATGTCTTTCTTCCCCAGTCCCAGTAACCTAAATCCCATTTTCCCAGCCCAAAATACGCAAATCCCAGTTGTCATGTTTGAACCCGAATTCGAGGGAAACCGAAATTTGCATATTGAGGTCAATTTTAAAAAGGTAATTAAAAAGAAAACAATTTTTGTACACTTCAAAACTGTATATAAGCTATGCTGCCAGACTATAGAACTAAAATTTTGCGGCCAAAGTTTATTTATTTTATTTTACTCTGCTTTAATTGAATAAACACCATGCAGGTTCAACCTCAACGTGTCAGTGTAAATTTACATTAGAACACGTTTTTAGGTTGTAAATCAGAAATTGATACCAGAAATATTTTATAACAATTGTGCAAGTCATGCAATTTTCATGAATATGGTAGCAGAAAAGTATAGAAATGAACAGTTTAGGCTCGTCGTTTTGCGTTGACAAATACTTTCCAACAGTTCCGCGGAGTTCCGACAACGATAGGACCATGTTCAGTACTTTGCCGAACAAAAACACCATGCAAAGTATAACCTATTTTGATTTAATCATCACTTTTCTACTAAAAGGCTAATGAAAAAGGTATGTGTTTTAAATTCTTTATTTTTCTGGTCGTTTCACGATAATAAGCTTGAAAAATGTGTTTTTAAACATAGACGAGAATATATTCGTGACCCGTTTTCACTGCAGTTAAACTTTCTTTTAAGATTTCATGTTTTTCGCTTTTTTTCGCTTTTAAGTGGCCGAATACATGAGAATTTAAAAATATAGCTTTTTCGGCGTAACTGGTTTATGCATGTCAAATACATTTCCAGTCGCATTTCTCTTAAAATATTTTCAATTCTGGTATACTTTGTGCTTATGTACGAGTCAAATCCAACCGCGATCAGGCCCCCCCGGGCAACCCCCGGGGAATTTGACTTTTGAAAAAAATAATTGGTCAAATGCCCGCCCGAACAGGCAGAAACCACAGTCAAATGCCCTGCTATAGGGGTAGTCCTGTTTCTGGAATTTTGACTAAAATTAAATTTAACAAGTATTTCAAGATTAAAAAGAACGAAAACTAGGCCAGACAATTTTTCTTTTTGTTCAACAGGGCATATTGTATCATATATCTATGATTGATATTTGTGATTCAGAAGCAATTTTCAAACTATCGAAAAGACGCAAAATAGAAAACTCGTAAAGCGCTAGAATAAGGTACACATATTTTTAGGGAAAACTGCTGAGCAAGTTGTTGTCAAGTGGTCAAATGCCCGGCCGGGCCGTCAAATTCCCGACCTGGCTGCCAAATTCCCGCCTATACGGGGGTAATGTTAAGTCAAATGCCCTGGGGTTGCCAGGGAGGGGGGGGGGCTGATCGCGGTTGGATTTGACTCGTACATTAGACCTTAGTATATGAAGTTTTTAGGGCTTGATGCCATTCATTTTCGTATTATATATTCATTTTGTTGTACGTACTCACGTGCAATATTGCAAAATAAAACTTGTCATATGAAAACTTATTATACTGTAGAAACCTTGCTCGTCTGTCACCAGCTTTAGTCTCGAGTGGATTTTATCATTACCAGCATTTTGAGTCGGTTCCGGTTCCTATACCTGAATGAATGATTTTGCTTTGTGATTGGTTCAGTTATGTCAATAAAAGACAATAAACCGACAGCTCTCTCCTCCGCAGAGGCTTTAATTGCCTGCGCTCCTTCGCCCAGCGGCTACGCTCGTGTTCCAAGATCCGCCATGTAAAGTCAGTGTAGTGAAATGTATTTCATCGTAATACTGTAAATCCTAAGAAAACACTAAAGCCTCTGCGGAGGAGAGAGAACCGACAGGGTGTCCCAAAACACCCCCCCCCCCCCAAACTATTGAAATAACGTATTGTTGGAATTTGAATGCCTGAGCAATCTGCTGAACGCTCAAGCTAGTGCATAAAAGTTTGACATAAGTAAATTTTATACATAAAGAAACATTTTATGAATAAATTTTATGCATAAGAATGTTAGTGTAAGAGAGATTTATCAGCGTTATAACAATCAGAAAACTTATGAGATGCCAAAAATGACAATATTGTATTAATAAAATATTTACGTCTACAAAAATATTTACGGTTACTTACACAAATTTATATCGGAACACCATTATTTACCGCTACCAAAAAATAGTTACCGCTACGAAAAATATTTACGGCTATTGCGTCGGTGTGTAAGGTCAGCGGTCACCTCTGCGCATGCTCTGCAATACTAACGTAATTGTCGGGAGGACCTGCTGAATGGAAAGAAGTTATTTCGCTGACCTCAGAATGATATTGTCAAAAATATTTTCTTCAAGATTGGTTTAGAAACAAACTTGGAGTAGGGTTAGGTTAGGGTTAGGGTTAGGATTACGGTTAGAGTTGGTGTTTGGAATAGGTTTAGTGTTTGTAAAACCGTTGCTTTGTTTATTCGCTGGCTTAGAGTGATAAAACATACCAAGTTGGTGCTCACTGCTCGGACTCACAATTTGGAAAATCTGGTTAGACAAGAGCTCAATCAACTCCTCGTTAATTGACTCTCATTTGTGGACATTGATCGATGACGGCTTTCATAACATGGATGTGATCTCCAATCGTCTTTCAAAGAATTCCTAGACATTGATATAATTACAATGAAGAGTCCGCTGAGCCTGGTTATAACCTGTGGTGAGTTGAACCATTTTCTCCCAAACTGATAATATGACTAATTTGTAATTCAGTAATTGTATTATCTTTGTTAGGGCATTCAAATTCTAACAATACGTTATTTTAATAGTTTTAATTTGGGTTTTTTTTGGAACACCCTGTACTTATAGAACATCAATTTCATACTTCAAAACAACTAATCATGAACACTGATCACTTTCTTTCAGAAAAGCAATCACAAATCGGCGAAATCGCGTTCACATTATGGAGCGTATTTGTTTAATTTAAATTAATAGGTAATTGATATGTCATGACCTTTGGATCATGTGATTCCTATTTCCAAGTATTTTATATGTTCAATTCAGCTGTTTTTGTTATTGTAAAATAAAACTAAAAGCCACGATGGAAGTGTTTGTAGGTCTGTATGTCTTTTGCTCTCGATTTATTTGCTTTACAATGTAAGATAAATGCTGGAAAGAAAGATCGTTTGTATTATTGTATATATTGTATTGTATAAAAGTCTGAATGGCTTGCTCCTCGACAGAAGAGAAATACGGCTACGAAGACTGTCGATTTGAGAAAGATGTCGACGAAAATTTTCATTGTTCTATCTGCTACAATGTTCTTAAAGAACCGAGGATGTGTAGGAATAATGAACACGTCTTTTGTCTCGCCTGTATCACTCAACATTTGAAGGTAAATTCTCAAACCTGTCCTGAATGTAACGAACATTTGAGTGTAGATACGCTTCGTCGCCCGCGGTTAGTGAATAATTATTTATCAAAGCTGAAGATCAATTGCGATTATGCCAGTCGAGGATGTACTGAGTTTACCTATGTTGAAGATCTCGAAAATCATGTTGCAAGTTGTGGTTTTACGCCCGTGGTGTGTTCAAATGAAAATTGTGACATGAAGATTAACAAGCAAGATAAGGTCCATCATGAGACTGTGGCTTGTGTCTATAGAAAAGCGAACTGCCATGAGTGCGAACAGGTACAGGAGGATGTGGGAAGATTGAAAGGACGTTTTGTGAAACTGGAGAACAACCATGATGAAATTAAACGCGACCAAGAAGAAGTCAAGAAAGAGGTAAAAGAGGTTAGGAAAGAAGTAAAAGATGTGAAAGAAAATCTTTCTAAAGTGAACAAAGACGTGAACGAAGTCAAAGTCATGATGTCTCAAATGTTAGAGACGTTGAACATGTTTGAACATCTTAACAAACTTCCATCACCGACTGTGGAAATGTTGAATGCGCCAAAAGAAGATATTTTAATTGCAGGAGGTGGTGAACGTTTCGGTAAAACGGCAAAAAGTACAGAAATATATTCTTGGGAGAAAGGTGGTTGGTTTGAGGTGTCGGCAACGAATAATGAGCACATCGGGGCTTCCTCGTTTATTTATAATGATCAACAATTATTTGTTGTTGGGGGATCCGAACATAAAGTAATTGAGACCATGAATATTAATGAATTACCTTTGAAATGGATGAAATTTTCGGCAGAACTTCCTTATGGGTGTGATGATCATCAAACTGTTGTTCACCAGCAGAGTGTCATTCACATTGGTGGATTTAATTATCACAGCAGAAGGCGGTCTAATGTGATTAGTGAATTGCAACTTACTGCAGATTGCACTATGAAGGAGTTGTGGCAAATGGCTGAGCCACGAGAAGGTCATGGCGCTGAGTTACTCGGCCATGATAAAGTTCTGATTCTTGGAGGAGAGAAATCTACAAATTGTAAAGATGCTTTGGAAAGTGTGTTAGAATTTGATTCAACGAAGAATGAGTGTAAGAAGATGCCACCATTACCACAGCCCTTGTCAAGAATGGGAACGGTTCGCTGGAGAGATAAAGTAGTTGTTCTTGGAGGTCGTAATGAAAGAAACGAGATCCTGAGTGATGTTTTCATGTATGACTGCAAGACGGGCAAGACCACACCCTTACCATCCCTGTTAGAGAAGAGATATCAATGCTGTGCGGTCATTACTGGAAATACAATTGTGGTTATGGGGGGTAAGAATGAGAAGGAAGAAATTCTCAATTCGGTTGAGTGCTTTACAATGGGAGACCATTCCACATGGGAGTATCTTCCTGCAATGAATAAAGCCAGACACAGAGCAGTTGCTGAGGTTTTACCTTCCACAAGAAAATATGTGTAAGTTTGACATTTACGAGAGTCTCCCAGGGTCTTCAAGAGAACAAAGCATTTTTGCAATAGCAAACAACATAGGGATCAAGGGGACATGATGAAATCGTTTTGGGAACAAGGGAACACAGAAGACTGGGAGATCCTCATTTATACAAATTTCCTAGTTTTTGCTTCCCGCTTTATTTAGTATGGGAAAGTAATGGGAGTAACAAATTGCTCCAACTTGCAACATGAAAAAAGTGATCCCAACACATGATAATAATAAAAACGATTATGCATAAAATTGCAACTATGCAATTGTAATTAAAATTGCTTCTTAATTAAAGACGGCCATCGTTGCAAGTTGCGGCAATTTTGTTTTTCGTATTACTTTTGTATTAAAGCTCGCAAACTTTCTATACATTTATTCCCAAAAACGAAAGCATGTTTAATGTGAATTATTTTCGAAATGGACAATTATGATATCATCTTGATATTTTGCAATATAAGCAATACTGGGCGAAATGATAATTAACCCTTGGAGAGTGATTACAGTCATAACAAAAAGTATTGCCTAAAGGTCCAGACACACCGGACGCGAAAAGATCGCGTCGCGTTGTCGAATCGCGTCCGGTGTGTCCACAGGCGGCCCAGACGCGTATCAGTGTATAGTAAATATATCATTATAAAATATCCTAAACAATAAAATTTGTAATGAATTTTATATTTTAAAATCATATTTACTTGCCTACTTTGATTGTATGTGATCGTCTTTTATTTCTGAGCGACTTTACATTCGATGCCTGCGACTGTCTTCATAGGTGATAGTATTGAAAGCAAAGGCTAACGATTCCAATTACCAAACAGCCGACACGAACAATTCAAATCGAAAAATATCCCCTTTAAATTGCTTTGTTCCCGGTAAAACTTCGCCAGCGTATAGAATAAACACCGATCTTCGAACATACAAGACAATATTAACACGTCCTATAATTTTTGCAATGGATTTTTAGCGAAATGTTTCGAGACTAAAATTCTATGGAACTTAGAAAGACCGATAATTACTACGGCGCCTGCTTGGCCACCTAGCCTCCTATACCGTTTGGATTGTCAGGGGGGGATTCAAATAAAAACACCTATTTTCGGCAACAGCCAGCCAAATTTAGTGAGCCAATCAACGCCGCGATACCGACTGTTTACAATATTTGAAATCTGATATTGCAATTTGTCAACAACAAAACTCTTTCGATCGTATACAGCTCTCTTTCTATTTTATACTATACGATCGATCGATCGAAAGAGTTTTGTTGTTGACAAATTGCAATATCAGATTTCAAAGGCTATTAGTAAAACACGGAGCACGGAGCACGGAGCACACGGAGCACACGGAGCACGGAGCACACGGAGTACGGAGCACACGGAGCACGGAGCACACGAAGTACGGAGCAGTAGAAAAACGAAAATCCTTTATAATAAAATACACTGTTTACTATTACAAATTTTTTTTATTATTAACAAAGTTTTTTCGCGTATTACACGTTGGGGAAGTAGGGAAATGGGGCTTTTACTGAAAAACACATATGATGCAAAACCAGGCTGCCAAAAGCCATAGTATTTAAAATGGGATTGTGAAACTCGTTATCTTACATCTATCAAGCTTATGTAGTTATATTATATTCCGATGGGCAACACATAAAGAAACACTTACTGTAGAGAACAGCCGATATATTTCGTTACCCCTGCCAAAAAAATAGCCAAGTATACTCATCTTTCAATGTAGCGGATCGACTGAACATTAAATCTTGTGATGAGAAAAGTGAATTTTCGGTTTATCCTTCGGCTCAGTGACCGGTGGCAGTGAGCTGTACGGCCGGCTAAGTTTAAACCGTTATACGGTACATCATTACTGCTTTCAATCTTTCAATTCGTTTTGAATATTCGGAATCATTCACAATATTATAGAACTGTATAAGATAGCTGTAGAACTATAAATGCTGTAGAATGAAATATATCGCGGTATTTGCCGATAAATCGGTAATCGCTACAGAAAAACAGAACAAATTACAGTATTAAAATCACAACAAACAGCGGAAGTGGGACAATTTTTGTATTTTTACTGTAAGACATGTAGAACATGTACGAAATCCATACAGAAGTGTGTGTGTATTCTATACTTTTGAAACAACTAAATCAGACTTCGGAAAATTTGACCGTATTAAAGCTGCTTTTGTGAATTTAGATTTTAGGTCTTCGTTTTACATGTACCCAGACCAGTAAATATTTTTGAGTTTTGAATTTTGTGTATAAATCAACACCAACGCCTCAAAGGCGAAAAGGAGGGCAAGATTGTTAGAATTGCTATTGTAAACATGAGCAGTTTCGAGCATAAACATGAAATTGAAACGAGTAATTTTTACACATCTGATTGACTAAATTCAGGAAGCCATTTAAGTGTACGTGTATTTGTTACAATTCCGATCAACTCTGAGCCAGAGGCAGAGTAAATTGTAAACAAATTGTAAGCTTGTGAGAATCAAAGTTCAAAACTCAAAAATATTTACTGGGTACATGTAAAACAAAGACCTAAAATCTAAATTCTCAAAAGTAGCATTAATACTGTCAAATTTTCCGAAGTCTGATTTAGTTGTTTCAAAAGTATAGAATACACACACACTTCTGTATGGATTTCGTACATGTTCTGCATGTGTTACAGTAAAAATACAAAAATTGTCCCACTTCCGCGGTTTGTTGTGATTTACTGTAATTTGTTCTGTTTTTCTGTAGTGGTTACCGATTTATCGGCAAATACCGCGATAAAACGTAGTTTTCTTTATTTATTTTATTCTACAGCATTTATAGTTCTACTACGTCATCAGTCTACGTCACTACGGAATTACATGAGAGAGCGCGCGCGAGCTATCTAGGCAATTTGTGCTTGCGTCTTTCTGGGCATAAACAACGTGAAGAAATTTATGCGAGTAAATCGTAAAGAATAGTTCATTATCAACGGTTTGTTGAACAAAATTTTTGCACAAGGCAAACAGGGAGTATATTGTTTTGTTATTTTGCTATTTTGTGGTTTTGTTTCTTATTCTCGTTTAGGTAAACGATCAAATGGACAATAAATATATATAAAATGGTGACAATATGGCGGACAGCCACAAACAAAATTCACGCTTGTGCTGCAGAGTTGAGCGGCAAATATAAGCAACCCAGTACACCCACATTGGGGAAAAGCTACCTATGGTCTATACAGACCGCTCCTAAGATGAGCAAGTGAAACTAAAGCCTTATTAAGGCATATGAGGCCAACGGCCATATATTAAAAAGCCCAACGGGCAAAATATACGAGGCCAAACAAAGGCCATACAAAGCCCAACGGGCAAAATATACGAGGCCAAACAAAGGCCATACAAAGCCAATTAAACAAGAAGCCAATGGCTGTGGAAAAGCCTATAAAACCAAGAAACAGGACGCCAACTACCCTGTCCAAAGCCTAACGAGTAAAGGCAAAAGGTACACATGGTCAACGACCACATTGTTGCTTCAGCAACTTGGGAAAGTACCAAGAGACGCCATTGCTGTGCTGGGCGGCACAAGGTCATGGCATAGTGCTTTTTCATAGCATAGTGCTTTTTCACACAACTAGGAAGCTAGTCCATTATTTTAATGCACACAACTGTAACGCAGAAACTAATTGGATTTTTCCAGTGTCAACGACATAAAAACGTCATTTGTGGCGTGTGCCGTGTGGATACAGTCCATGGCATGTATATACACATATATTAAATGATCACGTTATCCACTGTGCTTTACCTAATGGAATCTACAATAATATTATAATATTGTTTATTGCTGCAAAGCGTTCAGATTGAACGACATTTTATTTGCACTTTCGTAATACTTTATACTCGAGTTTATCCTGAGCGAACATTTTACTTTGTTTACTTGGCGGGAAATTGCCAGTGCTTTGCCAGTAATTTATTCACGTGCTACGCACGAGATTTAAACATGGAAGTACATCAGTACATGTTACAAGAACCACGCTAAAGGAATAAACAATTGTGATACTTTTAAAGTTTTATCTTGTGTGATATAATAAATATAATAGCATAGCTAAATGCCAGCAAAACCGTTGAAACTTGACCTGATCGAATGCAGACCAGTTTTAACTTGGTTGGTCACTTCCTGTGATACAACAACAGCAGGGGTGATGGCCATCACATGACATGTAGTAAGGCCAAAGGCCTTGTCCAAATTGAGCTACACTACAACCTACAATGAATATTTGCTCATTTGAATGTGAGCACACAATAACACAATGTTCATTCCAATGGTTCTTCCACGGCAAGACTAAAGCTAGTCAGCTTAGTTTACTGTTAATATCAGTAATTTTGGTATTGGCTGGTATCAACTCACTTCTGGCATGAATGCAGTCACTGTACAGCTTGGTACAGTTGGTGGAAATAGTATACATCATGCATGTTATGGCAATTATAGCCCCTTTTACTATCTCAGTATAGTAACCTGATTAGTCATTAGACTGAAGTAGGTTATTATCTTCTTCCCAAGTGGGAATATTGGCAGTGAAAATCGAAATGCTAATCATGCCAGTGGCTATGTTTGAATCATCAAACAAACAACTTGCCCAGGCCAAGGGGAAATTTACTGAAGTGTACGGTTTGTACCTGTTTATTTAACCATGCCATGGATCAGATTTCAATTCCTGATTAGAATTGAAGGTGTGGTTGATGTCTGCAAATCTGCATGGAGGCTAATCTTGTTCCCTGAGAACAAAATTGGACATCATTATCTTAACCTCTTGGAGGCTTTTTGAATATCCAAAGCAATTTGTATTAAAGTATAAGGATTAGTAAATTTCTATGCCTTGATTTTCGGAACAGCAGTGTAGAATATTCACTGGTCATTATGTATGGAAATATACCCAATGGAGATTGGCTTCAAGCCAAACAAATCAGGCCAGACTGGAACAGTGAAGCGTTCTGGTACTCAATGACAATGTTTCATATA